AAGTTTCCAGGGAAAATTCAGTTTTCCCTGCCAACCTGTTAAATCACATAACCTGCCACTTTTAGGGATTGGGCAGCTTCAAAGTTCAAAGTCATTTATTACAGTATTATCTAATTATTCACACTGATCTGCCACTGTAGTTTCTCCTGCTCCTTTATCAAATGGCTTTATTCATCCTTGGTATGCTCGCCTGTATTTAGGGGGGAGGGGCATACTTCCATGGGTAATGTAATACCAGAGCAGTTAATGCATGCATGAATGCATCCCTAGTTTCTCATGATCCACAGAATTACAACCTGTGGAGTTTCTTCCGGTTTGTGAAAGAAAAGTTGCAGTCTTTTGTAAATTCTAGGCTTATACTACCCTCATGAGTAGACAACTCAGTTGAGCAGTTTTTCGTGTTTGGTTGTGAGTGTATTGTCAGCATGGAGATCCATTGAGCAGTGTTAAAGAGAGCATTCTGATAAAACAGAACTCAATCATTGTACAATTTGTTGCAAGTAAACCACAAAATCTTAAGAACCGGAAATTTTAAGTCTGTTTATCACCATTAGAAGATCTAGGAAATAACATCACATAATTCTGTTTCCTTTCTGAAAAATATTTTGCAGGTTTGAACATCTGTAATGTAGATAGTATAGACTTTTTAAAAAATAACTGATTATGACAATCTTTAATTCTGCCTTCTTAATGGAAAGTTAGCTTTTTCACAATACCTTGAACATAATTAGGGATGATCAAGAAATCTGATTAGGATGGATTTTGCAATTGCATCTTAGTCCCTTCCCTCCTCAGATTGTTCTCTGGATCAAACTAGATCAATGGGAGATGGGATTAGCAGACCAAGAGAGGCTTGCACTTGTTGGGGAAGGGAGTTACTTCTTTTCCCTAATGGCCATGGAGACTATGAACACCAGAAGGGGGGGTTGGTTGTTTGTTTTTTAAAGTCCCACTGATGCACATTTCTGTGACCCTGAGATTCAGGGGTCCCAGAAGAAAACACATCCATGTGTTGCTATAGAAACAAGAAAATAATCCCTTTAAAACTGGTTCTTTGTGTGATGAAAGCATTTTTTAGTTTTTACTTTTTACTTTTTTGGCACACCAATGACTAGTTTTGAAGGGGTTCTCTTATCCTTTTGTCTCTATGAGACAAAAGAGCACAATTGAACTTTTCTGCAGCAGAGAAAGAAAATAAACTAGAAAACCCTTCAAAATTATCCCTTTGCTTGCTGGAAAAAACACACCTTTTTTTAGCACACAGAAGACATTTCCATTGTCCTGCAATATGCTTAGGACAATAAGCAGGAGTCTCTCTTTACTTTCTGGGTTCTGATCTTTGAAGTTCCACAAACAGAAGACCGGATCAGAAGTCTGTGGTAATGGAACCCTGATAGGTAAAGATCAACTGAATCCAAGTTGGGACCAATCTGAGGGAATTCGCTTCTGCCTCACCATCCTTGCTGTAAAATTAAGTTCAGCATTTTCATAAATTAGGTAGAATGATTTATTCTTTAGAGTTTATTCTTTGATGTGATAAAGACACAAGGTTTAATCCAAATAATGGACTTCTTCCATGAGTGGAATGGAGGGACACCTTTATGATCCAAACCATTAGAAAATAATCTTATTTACTGATGCACTAATTTTGTTTTATTTTGCAATGGAATTGTTTTGTTGTTGTTGAGTCGCACAGTTGAGTCCGACTCTTTGCGACCCCATGGATCAGATCCTGCCAGGCCTTCCTGTCTTCCGCCGTCCTCTGACGTTTCCTCAATTTCATGTTCGTTGCATTTATGACACTGTCTAACCATCTCATCCTTTGCCATCCCCGTCTTCTTTGACCTTCAATCTTTCCCAGCATCAGGGTCTTCTCCAGTGAGTGCTCCCTTCTCATTTGGTGGCCAAAGTCTTTGAGCTTCAGTTTCATTATCTGGCCTTCCAGGGAACAGTCAGGGTTGATTTCTTTTAGGATTGACTGATTTGATCTTCTTGCAGTCCAAGGGACTCTCAAGAATCTTCTCCAGCACCATAGTTCAAAAGAATCTATTCTTCAGCACTCAGCCTTTCTTATAGTCCAACTCTCGCAGCCATACATGACTACTGGGAATACCATTGCTTTGACCATGGAGACTTTTGTTGGCAGGGTGATGTCTCTACATTTTGTCATGCTGCTTAGGTTCGCCATCACTTTCCTCCCAAGGAGCAGGCATCTTTTAATTTCATGGCTGCAGTCACAGTCTGCGGTGATCTGGGATCCCAGGAATGTGAAGTTTGTCACTACTTCCACGACTTCCCCTTCTATTTGCCAAGGAGTGATAGGGCCAGATGCCATGATCTTAGGGTTTTTTATGTTGAGCTTCAAGCCCACTTTTGCGCTCTCCTCTTCACTTCCCTGAGCAAGAGGCTCTTAAGGTCCTCTTCACTTTCTGCCATTAGAGTGGTATCATCTGCATATCTGAGGTTGTTGATCTTTTCCCCAGCAATCTTAATTCCCGCTTGTGATTCATCCAGGCCAACATTTCGCATGATGTACATCCTTGCCGTACTCCTTTTCCTATGCTAAACCAATCAGTTGTTCCATATCCGATTCTGTTGCTTCTTGACCCTTATACAGGTTTCTCAAGAGACACGTGAGGTGGTCTGATACTCCCATCTCTTTAAGGACCTGCCATAGCTTGTTGTGATCCACACAGTCAAAGGCTTTAGCATAGTCAATGAAGCAGAAGTAGATATTTTTCTGGTACTCTCTTGCTTTCTCCATAATCCAGCGAGTTGGCAATTTGATCTCTAATTCCTCTACCTCTTCGAAACCCAGCTTGTACTTCTGGTAGTTCTCTATCCATGTACTGTTGAAGCCTAGCTTGTAGGATCTTGAGCATGACCTTGCTAGCGTGTGTGCGATAGTTTGAACATTCCTTGGCATTGCCCTTCTTTGGAATTGGAATGTATACTGACCTTTTCCAATCCTGTGGCCACTGTTGCGTTTTCCAAATTTGCTGGCAAATTGAGTGCAGCACTTTAACAGCATCATCTTTTAAGACTTTGAATAGCTCAGCTGGAATACCATCACTGTTTCAATTTTAATTTGTATTATATTTTTATAAACTTATAGAAGAGTGTTATTATTGATGCTTCCTAACAAAATGAGCATTCTGTAACTTTATATGTTTGTTTCAGTCTTCATCACCACATCCATTCCATTTAAAAAAAACCTAATCCCCTTTAGGCTATTGCCATTTCTATTTATCTGGAAAAGATATTTTAAAACCAATTTTAATAAGTTTCCGATAGAGTATCCCTTGAATTTAATACTGTTCATGGGGAAAGCATTTTTAATTCTGCACTTTTGCTGATGACAGTATACTGTTTTTTCATTAATTAGTTAATTGATCATTGATGAAGTGGCACAGGATTTGCATCATTTGTTGTATTTTTATCAGTAGCATTTGTAACTGAAATACTGATGCTTAACCTTCCTTTATTGAAACAGGTGTCCTCACAGTGCAATCCTAAAGACGCTTTCCTGGAAGTAATCACCATTGAATAGAACTCATTAGGATTCTTAATTGACCTGGTTAGGCTTGTTCTCTCAGAGTCATATTTTTTTCCAAAAATAATCATATAGCCTTCAACATTATTTCCAAGAGAGGAGACAAATACGAAACTTTAAAAACTGGTATGAGTTAAACAGTAAAATGCTTCTGTGGAGGAAATGTATAAAATGTTATTTCATAAAATCCATTTTGTACATACCAGCTACTTTTATTTACTTCAAGAAAGTATAAAGTATTTCTATTGTAACTGTTTCATAGTGTGTTACATTTGATTTGATTGGTTCTACATAATGTGTGGTCCATCTATTATACTCAGTTAAAAGAACTCTTGACTGAGCCCATTGTATTGTGTTCATTATGCTAACTTCAAGGAGAAGGGGGGGAGCAGGTATCTGAACGTGCACAAGAAAAACAAAAGGAAAGAAAAAGAAACAGGCAGAGCAGATAAAAAATGAGTAGGATAAGTGAGTGCTTTACAAATGAAAGCAGATGTATAAAATTACAAGCTGTCGGATCAGCAACGGAAATGAAGATGATAAAGTGGCTCCCTACACAGATTATAATTATTCATTTTGCCCAGTCCTGCATCTTTTCCTCATAAACCTCTGCAGGGAGAGATGGGAAGGTACTGAAGGAGATGCGGTTGATTCATGTAAGGGGGGGGGGAAATCAGTCTAGTAAGTCTCTGAGGCCATAAAACAGTCAATATATTTGGGATTTCATTTAATCAGAATGATTTTTGTGTGTGCTCCAAAAGACATATCTCATGGAGGCTTTTAATTAATAAAAAAGATTTTATTTCTAAAACTGAAGTTCTCAGAACAGTTAAAGTTTTTGTTCTAAAATGTACTTACAGTTCCTATCAGTGTAGGCAGCGTCTGTACCATGAACAGTATAAGAATAATTAATCGGCACGGCTTTGACAGCTCCAGCAGATGGATTGCCAGAATTTAGATGGCGCTAAAGAAATGAAGTAGTTTACATAGGCCTGCCTGAAAAGGTGTGCTCAATTTCATTCTCAATTAGGATCACTTGGTCCCCCTCAAAAGGACAGTCATACACGAGATTGAGATTAGAGAACAAAAATATAACAGCCTAAAAATGTAATGGATTTTAAGATTAAACAGCATGAATTTTCTCATGTCTGAGACTCTATTTTCTGTTTTTAGAAAATAGAATTAGAAAAACTATTAACACACAGGGGTCGGGAAGCAAGAAATACAAATCAGACTGTTCTTAAACCATTTCAGAATACATATTTAATGAAATATGCAGATCAAGATAAAGTCAGCTATTCAGACTAGCTAAAGAGAGCAAGGGGGTTGAGAAAGTAATATATAGTAATAATTGTATTAGGGGAAAATCAGGTGTTTTCATTAATATGTGATTAATATCCCCACTTCATGATTAGAAAAGCTCAATAATGTTTTCTATTGTTTTTAGTGATATCAAGTAATTATCAGACCTGTTTGGGACTTTTGATGCATTATCCACCCATTGGAGATGTACACTCACTCATCTTGAGAGCTCTTTTTCTCAGAGATCCAAAGGTAAGGCATGCTTAATGTCATCAGGTGCTCAGAAAACAAACATGATGGCACAACATAAATTTGACTGTGATGGGTTTGTCAGGCTTACGTGCTCTTCTGATTCCTTCACCCTCTCACACAAACACAATCCATTTCACCAGGTGTCGGATGGTAAAATTGGAGCTTGAGTCAAGGCTTCCCATACCCAAAACCCTTCAGTTTCTGTCTGTATGTTGAAGTTGGCGGGGAAATAACAGGAAAGAGCAAATGGACTGAACACAGAATCAAGCTCTGTGTGTGCTCATGATAGATTCACATGTTGGTGAAATATGAATACAACATAGCTGTCACATTCTGCAGTGATGAATAAGGAAGGACAGAGTTAATAATGGGAAATATTTTAATATGTAGAAAAGTGTGCCACTACTTAACTTTCTACAAGAAGAGGTAGCAAGACTCAAACTCGCCAATAAGTTGGTCTAAATCAGTGGCCATCCTCTATCTATGGGTGGTAGTGGTGGTTGTAGACTACTCAGAGCCTTTCCAGATGCTGTGGCCACAGGTAGCTACATAGCCATTGCTAAGTACTCATATGACATCATCTCTGCTGGTAGGGCCATTACTGGCAAGCTTATTGGATTTGATGGGAGAAGGCAATATTGAGGCTAGCAAGTAAAGCTAACCTCCGGGGTGTGCATGGATGTGGCCAATGTGACATTACTCCCTTGAATGTCACTAATCTCTCTTCCATCTGTGCTGTTATTAATGTCCATGAAACAAGGAAAACTTTCCCTTGTTTTCACTTTTTAAAATTTTGCAGCATCGCTCCAGGGCTTTTTAAAAAATACTATTAACTCAAGGAAACTACCGATAGCTACATCTCCCTAAGACAGCAAGAAAAGACCCTCCATTGCATTGGGGCAGGTAGATAGCGTTAATGTCAGTGGAAGCAGTGTGGTCAAAAACACAAGAACATAAAAAGAGCCCCACTGAATAGGGATAGACATGAACCACATTTTTTCGGTTCAGTTCATGGTTGAACCACAAACCAAACCACAGTTCGCAAACCAAATCGGTTTGTGAGCCATTAAAAGTTTAAACCCTGCTTTCTGGTCCCCGTGAAAAGCCCTGCTTGCTGCTTGCTGCTGCTTTTCACGGAGAGCAGACGGCAGGGGGTTAAATGGCTCAGAGCCATTTAAACCAACAGCTGAGCAGCAGGGAGCTCCTGTTGTTTTTTGTGAAGAGCAGAAAGCAGGGGTTTAAATGGGTCAGAGCCATTTAAACCCCTGCTTTCTGCTCTTTACAAACCATCACAAACTGCATCAACATTTGTAGAAGTTTGTGGTGGTTCTTCAGTTCGTGAAGATCGCTTTGGGAGCCATGAACCAGCCAAAATTTGTGACAAACTTTAGTTCATGAGCCGGTTCATGCCCATCCCTGCTGTTGAATCACATCAGCAGTCTATCTAGTCTAGCATCCTGTTTCACACAGTAGATAAGCAGATACTCTAGAGGAGTCTTCTATGACTTCAACATTTAAGTTGCCGTCAAAGATTACCACTGTGTGACACCACCAGCTGTATGGAAGCATTCTCTGCTCATGCTTAGGTACAAAATGTGTCTATTAGTACTTCAAAGGTCCCTAAAATTCAGGTAACATTTGTATGCTTAGGGCTGATCAGATAATGAATAGCATTTTTAATAGCCTGAAATCATTGGAAGTTCCCAATAGCATTTTACAGGGTCTCTTTCCCTTTGAGGGACAGAGTGCTAGTGATTTATGGTGTCTTCATAGTAATCATTATACACAAATGTGCAAGTTGGTTGGTTATTAGAAGTTTCAATAGCACAAATAGGCGGGCATTTGCCAAATTCAGTGCAACAAGAGTTCTATAATCACAGTACTCCCTACAACCCAAGAAATGTGTATCTTTAGAAACTGCAAAGCAGCACAGCTGGCCAACACTGACATATGAGCTCTTCTTGTCACCATGCCTACACTGAGGTAGCCTACACTCCTTCTACTCTGAAGTGAGCTTAAATTGACCATCCCCTTGGCCAAGACAATCTGCTATACTTACTGCCCATTAATTAGCATCCAACCCAAGGGAGGCTTTGAATAATAAATCAGTTTGACTTTTTAACAATATGTTTACAGAACTGCGGATTAAGCATTTGGGGGCAGTGTGAGAATGATTATCTTTCCAGTACCTCAGTATTTGACAGGGAACATAAATTTCTCAAATTGAGAACAAAAAGGAAATGCTGTGGCACCTAAAAGATTTATAGATGTCTGTCATAAAATATACTTTAGAATACAGCAGTTTGCATTCTCCAGTATGTAAACTTGAGTACAGCTTGGCCCAGCAACCAACTACAACTGGCTTTAGATGGTATATACTTATTAATTACCTGGGAATCAACAGTTAGTGAATCAAGAATCAATACAGCTTGAACATTTATTCCCACGTTATACACTACATGTAGATTGTGAAGATTTTCAGTTGTATTCTTCATTGGTGAATATCATCCACACGCAAAAAAAGAAAAATTAAATGCACACAGTGGTTTCTTACTTAAGAAAAATAAAAACTTGCCTTAGTTTTAATATTGGTTTTACATGTAACTGCTTGCGCAAACAACATCACATTCTTCCTTTTTGATGAGAAGCAAAATCTATATCTCCCTCAAAGTGAAAGTATTTTGGTCTCTTAAAAGAATTGTGAATTCTGCACCCCCCATGAACAAAAGCAGCAAATGGCTCTGTGTTTTTAAAACAAGTGAAAAAACGTGCCCATTTCTTCCGTGACTGCATTTTTGGAAGAATGTGTGACAAAATTGGTCTGTAGTTTTTAGCATATTGCTCATTTTCAGCTGTTTTCTGTATTAACTGAGGTAGTAGTAGAGATTTCTCATTATGTCTGATCAGCGTTAACAGCAAGGAATGCAAGCTTTCTCATGGTGTGATGCCCTTGCTTTAAACAAAAGCAAAAGAACCTAAAATAGTTCAAGCCCCCCCCCACCGAAAAATAGATGTAGTGTGCTATAAACAAGACGTTTTGAAATCATAGAAACGACATACTGGAAAATAAGTAAGTCTAAGAAAAACCCTTATGAATATATAAAATATATAATAATGCTTGTTATTATAACTAAACCAAATCTATATTTCTAAAACAAAATAATTTAGTGTATTCCCAACAATCTTTTCAGAATTAGACCAGGAATTTATGCAAATCAAACATCCCAGAATCCACATACCCCTTGTGGCATCCAAGTCTTGTTGCATTGTCTCATGCTGTTTGTTCACATAGCTTCACATTGTGTAATCCGCCTCGAGATTCAGCAAGAAAGATGGGCTATGAAAAGTAAATAAAAAATAAATTACCAGAGACAACATCTCTAGTAAGTAGAAAGGTTTATAGTGTCTTATATGATATGTTCAGACTTGCGCTCTTTTATTTTTCCATGTCAACTTGGAAAACTCATCAACAGGTTTACTATGTACCAGTAACTGTGACCACCCCACCACCACTATGATTGACAAATCTTGTCCTCTTTCTCTAAATGCCTGTTCCTCTGCTAGTGATTACAGTTTTCCTTTCTTCATTTCAAAAAAATATGCAGTCAAAATGTACATTTGCAAATCTACTTATGTTTATTGGATTAATTTGTAAAATATTTTCTTTTTAGGACTATCATTTAAACCTGCAAGAAATTTTTCTTTAAATGTAGAATTGTTAAAAAAAACACACAAAAAAAAAACACCCTGTAAACTTCCCAGATGGGAGATCACCTGGGAAACATATTTGAGCTTCTCTGAGCTCCTCAAAGGGCAGACTATAAATAGATGGTGATCCCAAGGAGATGAGGTGCAATAAACATATGGCTGCAATCCTGTGCATGTGTATCTGTGAGTAAGCCCCATTGAACACACTGAAAATTTAGGATTTAGTCCTTCTGCCACCATACGTTTTTCTGAAGAAAATGCCAAATTTTGCATACACAAAAAACAAACATTAAAAATAAAACTGACTTTATAAATTTTATTTAAAGCTTTTTTATGTAGAAGAGCCATGAAATGTCTGGTTTTATCTAAATTTGCTAGGCCTGCTCACAGCCTTAAGCTGGAGCAATTTTTGTGGTTGGAAAAAGAGGTGAGGAAAGAAGCAGGAGACTCAGCAAATGTGCCCAGCATTGGCTCAGCTGGGTGGCTTTCACACTGCTTTCTGCAGCCCACTCCCTTTTTGCCAGATATGTGCTGAGGAGAGCAGCGGACTTGATAGTCGGGCTCCAGTTTGGCTCGCACTGCATGTTTAAAAGAAGGGGGCTAGCAGGAGACTGGGCATCCACATACATTTTTTTCTTAAAGAAGATATCAAATTTTGCAAAAGTTGAAATATCAGATTTCAAATAAAACACCCACCTTTATCAAATTTATGGGGGTAAGTATAATTCTATATTTTTGTGCTCTCTTTTTGTTCCTCTAAAATATGTTGTGGTGAACCTGTTCTTTTCAACTTTGCAACATTCCAGAAGTGCTTAAAACATAGAAAGAGTTCCCTATAGGTTTCTGAAAACAATGCTAGCCTGTGTGCCTTTAATATCAAATGGAATAGTAGGATTATACAGTGCACTAAACCAGATAGGTAGTTTATCTAGATTTTCATTTGCTTCATACAAATATACGCGGAATAACATTCCATCCAATTGCACTTCTTCAGGATGAAAACATTCCATTGAAAACTGTCTTGATATGAAAAGGACAATGTGCTGTATGCAAAGATGTATTTTGTGAGAAGTGGAATCCTCCCCCCCTCCCACACACACACACAAAGCACCTAGTGTAGGTGTTTGGTGTCGCTTTAATATCCCCCAGTTGTCTAATTTTTTTTCCCTGCATCATCACCAATGAGAAGTGCTGTTAATTTTCAAAGTAGACGCTTTCAGATGGAAAATAGATACATAGGGGCTGGCAATCACAAAAATATAAAGCGATTAAAAAACAGTTCTAACCAGAGT